AGTGGCATTACAATGTCATAGTGGATGTTATGGTGTCATAATAGGTGCTATCGTATCAAGATGGCTATTATAATGTCATAGTGGCACCTTGATGTCATAATGGGTATTATGGTGTCATGATAAGTATTACAATGTCACAGTGGCATTACAATGCCATAATGGTTATTATGATGTCATAATGGGTGCTATGGTATCATGATAGGTATTATGATGTCATAGTAGCATCTTGACGTCATGATGGGTATTATGATGTCATAATGGCATCTTGATGTCATAATGTTACTATGGTGTCATAATGGGTGCTATGGTATCATGATGGGTATTATGATGTCATTGTGGCACCTTGATGTCATAATGGGTGCTATGGTATCATGATAGTTATTAAGATGTCATGGTGGCATTACAATGACATGATGGTTATTATGGTGTCATTATAAGTGTTATGGTATCATGATGGCTATTATGATGTCATAGTGGCATCTTGATGGCATAATGGGTGTCATGAGAGGTATTACGATGTCATAGTGGCATTAAAATGCCATAATGGATGTTATGGTGTCATAATGGATGCTATGGTATCAAGATGGCTATTATGATGTCATAGTGGCACCTTGATGTCATGCTGGTTATTATGGTGTAATGATAGGTATTTTGATGTCATAGTGGCATTATGATGTCATAGTGGATGTTATGGTGTCATAATGGGTGCTATGGTATCATGATGGGTATTATGATGTCATAGTGGCATCTTGATGTCATAATTGGTATTACAGTGTCATGATACAGTAGGTATTACAATGTCATAGTGGATGTTATGGTGTCATAATGGGTGCTATGGTATCAAGATGGCTATTATGATGTCATAGTGGCACCTTGATGTCATAATGGGTATTATGGTGTCATGATAAGTATTACAATGTCACAGTGGCATTACAATGCCATAATGGTTATTATGATGTCATAATGGATGCTATGGTATCATGATAGGTATTATGATGTCATAGCAGCATCTTAATGTCATAATGGGTATTATGATGTCATAATGGCATCTTGATGTCATAATGTTACTATGGTGTCATAATGGGTATTATGGTATCATGATAGGTATTATGATGTCATGGTGGCATTACAATGACATGATGGTTATTATGGTGTCATTATAAGTGTTATGGTATCATGATGGCTATTATGATGTCATAGTGGCATCTTGATGGCATAATGGGTGTCATGAGATGTATTATGATGTCATAGTGGCATTAAAATGCCATAATGGATGTTATAGTGTCATAATGGATGCTATGGTAACAAGATGGCTATTATAATGTCATAGTGGCACCTTGATGTCATAATGGGTATTATGGTGTCATGATAAGTATCACAATGTCACAGTGGCATTACAATGCCATAATGGTTATTATGATGTCATAATGAGTGCCATGGTATCATGATAGGTATTACGATGTCATAGTGGCATTACAGCGCCATTATGGATGTTATGGTGTCATAATGGGTGATATGGCATCATGATGGGTATTCTGATGACATAGTGGCACCTTGATGTCATAATGGGTATTATGGTGTCATGATAGGTATTACGATATCACAGTGACATTACACTGCCATGCTGGTTATTATGGTGTCATGATAGGTATTTTGATGTCATAGTGGCATCATGATGTCATAGCGGATGTTATGGTGTCATAATGGGTGCTATGGTATCATGATGGGTATTATGATGTCATAGTGGCATCTTGATGTCATAATTGGTATTACATTGTCATGATAGATATTACAATGTCATAGTGGTATTACAATGCCATGATGCTTATTATAGTGTCATATCGGGTACTATCGTATCATGATGGTTATTATGATGTCATAGTGTCATCTTGGTGTCATAATGGGTATTATGGTGTCATGATAGGTATTTTGATGTCATAGTGGCATTACAATGCCATGATGGTTATTATGATGTCAGATCGGGTGCTATCGTATTATGATGAGTATATGATGTCATAGTGGCATATTGGTGTTATAATGGGTATTAGGGTGTCATGATAGGTATTTATTTCGATGTCATAGTAGCATTACGATGCCATGATGGTTTTTATAACGTCACAATGGGTGCTACTGCATCATGATGGGTATTATAATGTCATAGTGGCATTATGATCTCATAATAGGTTAATGGCATAACAGCCTTCATGATTCTATAACATTCAGTGGGATATGAAACAAACCATTATGACATCATAATGCCTCTATGACATTCCAAAACCCATAATGATGCCGTAATACCCCTTATGACATCATACTGCCACTACTACATCATAATACTTATCATTATATCATAATAGGTGTTACTAAGTCATACAGGTATTACAATGCCAAGATGGTTATTAAGATGTCATAATAAGTGTTCTGGTATCATGATGGGTATTGTTATCATAGTGGCAATATGATGTCATAATGGTATGTATGATGTCACAATGGGTCCTATGTAATTGTAATGACATTATGATGTCATACTAGGCATCATGATATGTATTATGATGTCATAGTGGCATGTTGATGTGACAATGGGTATTACAGTATCATAATGGTATTATGATATCATAATGGGTGGTGCTATGGAATATTGGTTATTGCAATAGCACAGTGGTATTATGATGTCACAAGACGCATTACAACATCATAATAGGTTTTACGATGGCATTACAATTGTCATCAGTGTCTTATGGTGTCATGATGGGTTTGTCACAATGGCATTATAATGTCATAACGGGTATTACAGCATCGTAATGGGTTTTGCGATGTTATAATGGTTGTCATAATGGTATAATGATAACATAAGGAGTGAAATGGCTAATGGGAAGTACAATAGCATTATAATCGGTATTACATAAACCTGACATGACATTTTTGGAGAACATATATATATATATATATATATATATTGTTATGTTTGCAGCATTATCTGATGTCTCTATGTTTATATACACCAGCTTCAAGTCCAGTGCTCAGAACACTGACACACACATACAGACAGACGCACACATCCACACTTACAGTAACTCCAGGGTTCTTGACAGTAATGCAGGGTGTCGTGGCCCTCAGTGCTCCGCTCACTCCATGGTAATATTTAAAGCAGATTTTGGTCTCAGCTGAGAAACGTAAACACAAGATCATGTTTCTGAGAGTTCAATACTGTGGAAATATAAACCACACAGGCTGTAGCTCCATTACTGCGCTCACATCATAACACATTTCAGCATAGTTTCAGTCGCAGACATTACACTCATGAAACATCTGATCGTTGAGGTTTTTAAAATTACACAAAACCTGACCTTTGCTCTTCAGTATCTAGCTGAGCAACTGAAGTACCATACAAAAACCATTCAAAAGTATGCATTCAGAAATATTATTGTCTTATGCCTTTAAGACTGCATTCTTTTGAACAAAATCAGTGAAATAATATTTAATAACTAATTTCCTTTAAACAGAAAATACATTTCAAATGCTAATGTATTAAACAAAACCACAACAACAAAATCCTGATTAGTTCTCCAGTCTGATTTGTAATCTCTGTCACTTACGCTCCATAAAGTATGGTCCGGGCTCCAGCCTCCAGACGATCTGCCCTCTCTGAGTGCCGTTCACCCCGCGGTTCTTCGAGTCCCAAACATTAGCAGGACACGTCTCATCTGTGTCGGAAAAAAAAGTGTAACAATTTGACTCTAACATATATAACGTCTCAGCAGAAAGGCCTCCAGCTGAAGTCAATGGCTGTCATTATAAACGCGTGGCTGATGGATTGTGCCGCACCTCAGGCTCATTCTCTTCTTCTGCAGAACAAATAAACGCTAATGTGTTTCTTAGCGTGTGTTTCCTGCTCTTTAACTCCTCAACTCACCCTGGCCTGATCAAACTGACCTCCTGCAGATCCCATCTGTTGGCTTCTTTCAGAGATATTACTCCATATAATGAACAGTGACACAGCTCAATGTCAGATCATGCTTTTGTAATAAATACAGATACATGTGTGTGTACACACTGATAATTCAGATATCAGGTCTTGGTAATGGTAATGTTGGTAATAAAATAAAATAAAATAAAATAAAATAAAATAAAATAAAATAAAATAAAATAAAATAAAATAAAATAAAATAAAAAAAGAAAAGTAGACCTAGAACAGAGCCCTGAGGCACACAAGTAGCAAGATTTTAATATACAATAATATATATATGTAAAGATAGATAGATAGATGATAGATAGATAGATAGATAGATAGATAGATAGATAGATAGATAGATAGATAGATAGATAGATAGATAGATAGATAGATAGATAGATAGATAGATAGATAGATAGATAGATAGATAGATAGATAGATAGATAGATAGATAGATAGATAGATAGATAGATAGATAGATAGATAGATAGATAGATAGATAGACAAATAACAGTTCTGTCTGTTCTCAAATCTGATTTTAAAGTAATATCAGCACTTGTACAGCCTCTTCACCCCTGTGTATTACTTAGCCCACACGAGTGGCAAGTAGAGGACTACAGTTTGACAAATATTGCAGAGCCTGTATACTTGCAGCATAATGTAACAATTCGGACACCTTTAGATCTTGACTTAGTCTTGGTAATGGTAATGTTGGTAAAAATGTTGGTTAAAGTGAAAATAAAATAAAATAAAATAACAAAAAATGTAATTAAATTGAAAAAATTGAATTAAACAAGAAAATTTTTAATTAAATTAAATTAAATAACAAAGAATCTAATTAAATTGAATAAATTAAATAATAAAAAATTATTACATTGAATGAATTAAATTAAATAAATTAAATAAGAAAATTAAATAAAATTGAAAAAGTAAATACATTAAATAACAAAAAAATTAATTAAATTGAATAAATTAAATTAAATTAAAATTAAAACTTTACTTAAATTGAATAAATTAAATTTAAAAAATATTTAATAAATTTAATAAATTAAATAAAAAAATTATCTTTATCAATTTGTAAAAATGTAAAAAAAAAACCATCCTTATAAACAAAAAATAGTTTTAATACAAAGTGCTTTAATACAAAATAATTATGTAATCTTAAAGATATGCAATACAATCTAGCTTAATTTCATTTAATATCAGAAATATCCTAATAAATGCAATGCTTAAACATACACAGACCAACGTATAATGATTAATCTCCATTACAAGTAGAGTATCAATTGGCCAAGTGAAAAGAGGGCACTAATGAATTGATTGGCAGTGATTCAGGCATTGTGGGTGAACTGAGTCCATGAACACATTAGCTTCAATTTCCAGCCCGAGCCTGAATAATCAATACAGCCACATAAACCAGAGACCCAATGACCCACGACTGGTCTATGTGGCAGTCTCATTCTCCATTCAGGACAAACAGCCTCTCTACACAATAGCGGACAATAACATCTCGTGACAAACTCTCAGTTTAACAAACTTACTGTATATGATTAAGGTAGAATTAGAGTTGGTTAGCACAGACAGCTAAAGTGTGAACCAAATCTGATTTTTAGGAAACCTGACTCTGATTCAAATACGATTATTTGTAAAGCAAAACAATCTAATTTAAAATCCATTTACACAAATTGTCTAGCAATGCCAGACTATATGCAACCATGTCCAATAGAAAATATAAACTGTAACTGAATATGCAACTGAGAGAGAACGAAAGAGGATGTATAGATCAATACTTCACCTTTCAGGTTTTTTAAAAAAAAACATAAAAAGAATACATACTACAAATACTATACATTCTGTGTGTGTGTGTGTGTATATATATATATATATATATATATATATATATATATATATGCAATTGAAGCACAATTTTCAGTTCTGACATGCACCATAGGAGAGAAGCTGTTCTCGCAGTGTCCGAAATAAAGGAGTGCATAAGCAATTCTCATTCTGGTTGAATGAATGAATGAATGAATGAATGAATACTAGAAACTCAGACCTCTAAAAATATTGGAGGGAATGTGGAGACAACATAAAACATTATATTTTTATTACTTACATTAATAATAAGAAATTATTATTTTTTATAGACTTTGTCTGATTAAAAAAAATAACCAAATAAAGTCCTATTTCTCATCTCGCGCACACGGACCTGCTTGAACAACACTGGAATACATCACATCTCGTCCACTGGTCGCATACGGTCTAGTCGCTGAAGTTCAAATATTTCAACGGATCCGCAGGTCAATTCGGATCCGAATTTTCCTCATACAGAGATGATCAGAACTCCACACAGCTCCCGGACTACTCTCCATTGGAAGTGAATGACTTGCGGTCTGTCACTTGTGGTGTGCAATGGAAAGGAGGCTTTAATACCCTAACCTGCCTAATTATCCTAGTTAAGCCTTTAAATGTCACTTTAAGCTGTATAGAAGTGTCTTGAAAAATATCTAGTCAAATATTATGTACTGTCATCATAGCAAAGATCAAATAAATCAGTTATTAGAAATTAGTTATTAAAACTGAGGAAATAGAGGAAAAATATATACAGGATGGCTAATAATTCAGACTTCATCTGTATATATTTTTTCAACTCAAGTGTTTTTTTTTAAATTTACAAATATCTAAACATTCTTAAATTAAAATCTATTTACTTGCCAAGCAAAATACCTAGCCCCTTCCCCAAAAGTGTCCCAGTCCATCTTCCTTATTCATTTAATTCTGAGAGATTTTACAGTAAGCGAGACATGAAGAAGAATCAGATGCTGAAAGTGAGTTTTTTGTAAAGACGCGTGCCGTTTAAAGCCGCAATGTGTCTCTCTCGGTGTGTTATTATGGGTAATTGTGAACAGAGCAGGCATGTGGACTGTGATTTACAGCAGCTCATCTGAATCTCCATCACAGCGCTGACACTGAGCCTCTGTTACTGAACGACTAGCAGAACCCACAATTCACTGCCCGCGTCACATCACTCACGCTAAAATCAATCCTCTCTGCCTCCCAGCATCATCCGCTTTACAGGAAAAATCAGCTGAAAGAGTTACTGTAAAACCGGCACATGCTCTGAGCTCACCAGCAAAGCGAGAGAGATGGTGAATTCAACAGAGATGACATGAAGGATTAATGTGTGGCATGTAAGGTAACATTTCTGACTAATTGGACATCAAAAGAGAAGTGTATCAAAATTATGAGCTGTGTTAATCATATAAGGGCGTCACGGTGGCGTAGTGCATAGCGCTATCACCTCACAGCAAGAAGGCTGCTGGTTTGAGCTCGGCTGGGTCAGTTGGAATTTCTGTGTTGAGTTTGCATGCTCTTCCCTTGTTGGCGTGGGTCCTCCTGGTGCTCCGGTTTCCCCTTACAGTCCAAAGACATGTGCTAAAGGTGAACTGGGAAAGCTAATTAGTCCATAGTTTATGTGTATGTCCTGGTCCTCCAGGTTGGGGGTTGAGTTTCGGGCTAACAACCCATCTCATAAAAAAACTAGATGTAGACGAAACACCAATATGGTATGGCGAAATATCAACTTCGATTTAAGTAAGTATTAATCATATAAGAAAGTATTAATCACATAATATAGTTATAAAATGGTGTTTTATTTGCAAAATATGCTTTTAAGTTGAAATACAGTAGACTTTAATTAAATAAAAATAAAAAATTACCAACTGACCCAGCCGGGACTCGAACCAGCAACCTTCTTGCTGTGAGGCGATACTACTAACCACTGAACCACCGTGCCGCCTTTATGATTTTATATTTTCATATTTTAACTATTTTGTTCTCAACTGATCATAAACATGATGAGTCTAAATGTTTTTTTTTTTGCAGCGCCAGTTATTCTAAATGAAAGTGAAAATTAAATAATTTAAATCATTGTAAATTTATATCAAAGCAAAATCTTAATAAAATAAAAAATATCACAATAGAAAGGATGCTGTAGAGCAAAATATATTTATCAATGATAGCTTCATATTTTTATGAAGAAAAATATTTTAAAAAAAATATTTTACATTTTATTTTTAAAAAATCCTGTCTGTATATTTTATTATTTATTTAGGAACAAAAGAAAATGTGCTTAAATTAAAATATTAAACCGAACTTTAAGAAAATAAATGGTCTAAATATTGAGATAAATTATTTTTTTAAATATCCAATTATTTATATTATAAAAATATATAATTATATTAAATACAAGTATAAATATTATAGTAAATATGTGAGATTACAATTGAAATATTTTGCCTGTATGAATTTTAAAAAGATGAACTAAACCAGCATTTTTCATGACAAAAACTGGTCATATTAAGGCAGTTGTTCTGTTTGTAGCACAGGTCATAAATCAGACCTGGGTCTCTCCCGAGGGGGAAATAAGACTGTGAATGAAACTCCAGAGGATCTGAGTGGATCGATGGCGGGCCACAAGCCCTAAGCGCAGGTCTTTCTCTGGACGGAGCCACAGAGGAATCCCTGTCCTGATCAATGGCTCCATGAAACCGGCTGTAGTAACACTAGAGAGATCGCTTTCACTGACCACCACACTGTCAAACACATAACATACAGATGAGGGCAGAATTATTAGCCCTCCTGCATATATTTTCCCTCAATTTCTGTTTAATAGAGAAAAGTTTTTTCAACACATTTTTAAACATAACAGTTATGTTCTGTAGACAATTAAAATATACATATAGCTTAAGGGGGCTAATTATATTGACCTTAAAATGTTTTTCAAAAAATTAAAAACTGCTTTTATCCTAGCCAAAATAAAACAAATGAGGTTTTCTCCAGAGGAAAAAAATTTAGAGGAAAAATTATTTTTAAATTATTAAAAAAATAATGCTGTAAAAAATTATTAAAAAGTATATATACACTCACTGGCCACTTTATTAGGTACACCTTCCTAGTTCCAGGTTGGACCCCGTTTTCCCATCAGAACTGCCTAAATGCTTCGTGGCATAGATTCAACAAGGTTATACAAATATTCCTCAGAGATTTTGGTCCATATTGACATGACAGCATCACGCAGTTGCTACAGATTTGTCGGCTGCACATCCATGATGCGACTCTCCCGTTCCACCATATCCCAAAGATGGTCTATTGGATTGAGATCTGATAACTGTGGACGCCGTTTGAGTACATTGTACTTTTCTCTTTTTTAGAGCATTCTCTGTAAACCCTAGAGATGATTGTGCAGGAAAATCCAGTAGATCAGCAGTTTCCGAAATACTCAGACCAGCCCGTCTGGCACAAACAACCATGCCACGTTCAAAGTCACTGAAATCACCTTTCTTCCCCATTTTGATGCTCAGTTTAAACAGCAGCAGATCGTCTTGACCATGTCTACATGCCTAAATGCATTGAGTTGCTGCCATGTGATTGGCTGATTAGAAATTACCTTTAACGAGCAGTTGGACTGGTGTACCTAATAAATTGGCCAGTTATAAGTATATTATAAATGTTTGGATAAATTGTGTTTGCATAAATTCACAATTTAAACATAGCAAACATGTCTGTATAGTTCACTGTAAGCCAGTGAATGGTTAATTGTGCTGCAGTCTGTATCTAGGCATGCTTGTGGGTTGAGCTTTTTCATGGTTGGTTGGCATCTCGCGGGACGTGTTTCACTCATCCTCCCACCTTTCCTCTACAAATCAAAACTACAGCGGTTACGGGCTCTCAAAGCCATCAGCAATAATGCTGAGTAATTAGATTCAGCCATCAGTGCAAAGTGCAGAGGAGAAGACGAGATAAACTGAAGCTAATGACAATTAAGCTAGCGCATAACAGAGTCAGCAGTTCATCTGTTTTCATTTGCTCATTTACTTCATCAGCATAATAAACACAGGTCGCTGTAAGGCTGGCTAGTATTTACCATGCACAGTTAGACATGTCTGCTTTCTGTTATAATGCCACAAAAAGCTTGAATGATTATAATGAGATAGAATTTATTTTGGGTGGTGGATGGCTTCCTATATCTAGTGTTTTGTTTTTTGTCCATCAAACATATATATAAACCCACGCAGGCAGTAAAATAAAATAAACAGAAACAAAATAAAAAAAATAAAATGAACAGAAATAAAATAAAATAAACAGAAATAAAATGAAATAAAATAAACAGAAGTAAAGTCAAATAAAATAAACAGAAATAAAAATAAATAAATTAAATAAACAGAAAATATAAAATAAAATGAACAGAAATAAAATAAACAGAAATAAAATAAAATAAATAAAATAAACAGAAATAAAATAAACAGAAATAAAATAAAGCAAACAGAAATAAAATAATAAAATAAACAGAAATAAAATAAAATTAACACTAATAAATATAATTAAAACAAAACAGAAATAAAATTAAGCAAACAAAAATAAAATAATAAAATAAACAGAAATAAAATCAAATAAACAGAAATAAAATCAAATAAACAAATAAAATAAAAGAACATAAAGAGATAAAAGTAAACATAAATAAAATAAAATAAATAGAAATAAAATAAAAAACAGAAATAAAATGAAATAAAATAAACAGAAATAAAAAAAATAAAAAAATAAATAAATAAATAAAATAAAACAAAATAATTTTCCAATACTGGGTTGCAGCTGGAAGGGCATCTGCTGTGTAAAACATGTGCCGGAATAGTTGGCAGTTCATTCCGCTGTGGCGACCCCTATTAAATAAGGGTTTAAGCCGAAGTAAAATTAATACATTTTATTTAATTTAATTAATATTTAAATTACAATTTATAAAAAACATTTTTTTAAAAACATAAACGATAAAACAAAACAAATTTGTTAAATTTATTGGAGATTATTTCAGAATAACTTTAATATTATATAAACAACATGAGATTTTGTCCACACCATCCACTTCTTGATCACTGCCAATAATATCCGGCTTAGTGAAGCAGCAAACAAGAGAATCTGTTCCCAGCATCTTTTAGACAAGAAATGGCTTTCTTTAACTCACCTCTTTTCGAACACTAACCATCTATCTGTCAAACCATGTTTTAAACAATCTGACCTTAAACCAGACAAACCAAAATAAATATGGAGTAGAAATGGCAAATAATATTTTGAATGAATCTTCCAATCAATCTTCTAATCATCAGCAGTCCATATTAATAAGCTAGGACGTATATGTCTTATAAAGCTAAACCTAGGTTATAATCTCATAACCTAAGACTTTTTAATTACCCAAGACTTAATAACCTAACAAAAAGTATGATAAAACATTAATTGAGCTTAACAAGATTAAATGAAAATGGGCTCAAGTTACTGTCTTGGTATATAATCATGGTGATTTGATTCAGTACAATAGACTGCGGCATAGGTCTCACATTCCTGGAGGGTCGTAGCTCTGAACAGTTATGCTCCAACCCTGAACAAACAAAGCTGATCCGACTAATGAAGGTGTTCATGACTCTTTTGAACATCTTGATTATTTAAATCAGCTGTGGTGTGCATTTATCTCAGTTTCCACTGTCAGAAGTGCCAAAATAGCAAACCCTAATCTTTACCTAACACAACAGTTTGGTACCCAAAAGGTGGAGCAGGGCTTGATTTTTTTTGAAATGCTGATTGATTTACAGGTAATTTTAACTTGAGCATGCAATAAGCCAGGGGAATGACAACACAGGATGATAAGACCTTTTGCAAACACACATCCACATTGTCTGAATCCCAAATAAATGTATCAACCTGACCTTTTAGTGCTCTTCCTTCATTCTTTCCCAAGGGAAATCAATTTTTTCCATTAAGATTTAAAGCTTTTGTTGCTATTTGTCTGCTATTTCATTTCCTTGAATTCCTATATGAGCTGTTATCCAATAGAATTGCACCATCTGGCACTGTTGTTGACTCTGTTGCTGCATAGCTTCAACTTAACTTGAATCGAGTCAAGTGCACTACTTGGGGTAAAAGTTGAGTCAACTCAAGAGAGCTGTGCAGCAACAATTTCCAATTGCCTTACAATTTCAAGTTGCGTCAACTTTTTTAAAAAGTGTACAGTAACGCTGTACAAATTAGTATTATTTCAACTATATAAATAAAATGCCTGTTTGTTTTCGCACATCACACATGTGCCAACTCCTGAAACTGAATAGCACCCATGTGGAAAGTTCTTGACCAACTCCGATTAATGTCAACTTGCATTTTTAAGTAATTTTAACAATCACACTTTAGCTGACCCAACAATTGTTCAAACAACTTACTTTTACAAGTCTGGACTGCCTTCCCAGCAGACACACAATATCATAAGACATTAATACTAGGTTAGATTTAGGTCACCAGCATCTAAGGAGAGTGCTACTTTGACGTACAATAACACAGAGAAATGACAATGTTATTTGGTTGATTTTAGGTTGTGTTGGAAAGTGACCAAAATCCAACATTGAGCCACTTTTTTAACCATCATCATATTGACGTCAAATACTGACATTAATCCATCAGGTATTTATCTGTCAACCAAAATCTAATGTCTGATAGACATCATAGGCTGCTCTCACACCTGTGAATTGATTCATTTGTTCCGAAACAGGGATTAAAATAATTACATTGTGGCTCTTTGTTCTTTGTGTGGTTCGCTTTCAAACTGCAAAGTTTCTAAATGGACCAAAAGAGCTAAAACAAGTCATATGCGAGTAACTCTCCTCACATTGGTCAGAGTTTCACAATTTATTTTGCAGAGTCCAGCTCAGCTGTCAAGCATCCTTATTTAAGTTATGACGATGAGCAATAAGACAATATAAGCTATGTGAAAACCGGGGGGGGGGTTTGGTGGTGTTTGACAGGGTGCATGCGACATATCTGAAGAGCGATGAGGGATGCAGTGGGGAGGGGTGAGAAGGGTGCTCTACATATTTGAGGACAGAGAGGAAGACGTGCAATTTCCTGGAGATTTCTACTCTTTTGTGGACATCTGGGAGTCTCTGTGCATTTGCGGGAGACTCCCGGAAACCTCCGAGAGACTTGGAATGTCTGGACTGACCTTCCTCCCTGCTCATAATTGTCTCTTCATATAGCCGTATGCCAATTACATATCCATAAAACACTGTGACATAGCCGGGCTGGGATCATATTGCATTCTCAATACAAACGATCAGCTTCAGAATGTGCTTCAATCAAGCCGAGACCACCTCATTCAGGCGATCTCAAAGTGATTGTTTTGGCGCTGATCTGACTGTGATTGCTGGTTTCACATATGCCAAACAAACCGTGCTAACTGAGCAAACGAGACCGGTTCCGAAACAAAAGTATAGGTGTGAAAGCACCCATAGTAGTAATGTCCATACAACATCAAGCTGTAACATCATTAGATGTTGATATTTGGTTGTTTTTAGGTTGCCAACATCTGACCGATGTTGGACATTAATGTCGGCCTGATGTTGGGTTCTGTGGTCAACACAATATTTATTTCCAATCAAAATGCAATGTCCCACGAGGTTGGGGTACAACTTCAATCTGAGTCCTGTGCCTGTTGAGTTGTCTTGTTTTTTTGTTTTTTTGCAAATACAAATACTCATTAGGCCAACATTTTACTAGTTGGATTTTTTACAATTAATTCCAATAAAGATTTCCCAACATGACTTACCAATGTGATAGAGCCCAATCCAGTCAGTGGCATCCACCTCCTCCTTGATGTCCCAAGAGATGACCAGGTTTTGCCCTCGCCCTAGTGTGAACTGGTATGTAGATGCTGTTAAGGAGGAACGGCTGTCCGATGTCACTAGATCGGTGTCACTGTTAGCCCGCTGCAGGCCCATGGGTTCGGGTGCTCCACCTCTAGAGCCTCCTCCTCCAGATCCACCCTGCGCCGAAAGGCTGCGGAGGTTTTCCGGGCTCAAGGTGTAGCGCATGTGTGGGCTGCGCCTCCGCACCACCAGGAGATGCTCACGGGCAGTGGTGGTGGTGCCTGTCGCCATGGTGACCTGGGTGGAGGGATGGGGGGTGTGGTGGGGGGAAGGGGGAGGGTGGTGAGGAGGGGGAGGGTGGGGGCGGGAGCGGGGAGGGAGGACTGCCGTGGCCAGCGAGGGTCGAATGGTGGAGGTCGAGATGAGATGGAGCCAAGAAATGGGTGCCAAATGGCCAAAAAAGGGGAGGGGATTTGGGCCCAAAAATCGCTAACAAGCCCTTATTGGTGTAAGTTGCCTCCTTCCTTCAGTTCCCAAGAAGTAGTGGCGGCATTTAAGATGGTGAGTATCTGACTTCCAAAATTCCTCACAATCTTGGATTTAAAACATTGAGATATCTTAAAAACATACAATCCTGAAGACAATGAATGAAAATGAGCTCAAGTTACTGTCTCAGTACAGAACCTAGTTTTACGAATGGTGATTAGTCCACTGTCAGGAGTTCCAAAATAAATCTAACCCTAACCCTTTCATAAGGGTATCAAGCACAACAGTTTGGTACCAAAGGGTGGAGCTAGGCTTGCTTTCTTAAATGCTGATCGGTTAACAGAACATTTTCATGGCCAGCGAGAGGCCAATTGTGGAGGTCGAGATGAGATGGAGGGAAGGAATGTGTGGCTGGAAAAAAGGGGAGAGGATTTGGGCCCAAAAAGCCCTAACGAATCCTACTTCCTAGTTCCCAAGAAGTGGTGGTGGCATTTAAGATGGTGAGTCTTCCAAAATTCCTCACAATCTTGGGTTTACTACATCAAAGTATCTTAAAAACATCCAATCCAGAAGATCGAGAGTTGGCTGGGCTTCCAAAAGTCAATTTTCCCAATCTGATCTCTCAGAAGATTATTGTCAAAGTCTTTGAGGAATGGTGGAGCTCATAACGAGCTCGTTTAATTCCCAGGTCATTCTAACAATCCTTAGTGGTTGGACGTTTCCTCACCCATTAAGCTTTCTGGAAGTGTCTAAAACTGCTGGCCTATATCTACATGACTTTCAACATTGCTCAATTAGATCATTCAAAAGTATTCAAAGTGTTTTTGAGTGGGAAATGGTCTTAACAAATTGTTGAGATTTGGGTTCTTTGGGTTCCATTACCCTAGTGGTTCGAAGTTTCCTCTTTCATTAAGCTTTCTGCAAATGCTGGTGGCATCTATCATGATAAGTATAAATATCTGACTTTCAACATTATTAACAATCTTGGACATCAAGGTATCCTAAACGCACCTAATCCTGAAGATTAGAAGGTTTGCTGGGCCTTCACAACTCTAATCAAAGAGCGTCCAATTCCAGCAAGATCTCTCAAAAGTTCATTTCCATATCTTTGAGGAAAAGCAGAGGTTGATTCTGCACGCCAAATGACCTTAAAATAAGGTTTAGATTTGGGTTCAGGCCCAAGCGGGTCAACAAACCCACTCACAGCACAAGCTAGTGAGATTTTCTCCTTCTCCAAGTTCTCTGGAAGTAGGGATTGGCATCTAATAAGACGATTATACAACCCACTTCTGAAATATCCTTGAGTTTATGCCACTGAGGTATCAAATATGCATCTAATCCAGAAAATAAAATGAAAACAGAATCCTCGGGACTCTCAAAGGTCCACACTCAAGAGTCTCAGAGGAATAAAAGCACTGAAATGCAAAAATGAGCTGAATACAAAAACATTCTCAGAGTTGCAGTCCAAATTATCTGCTTTGGGCATTGCTACTTCCTTTTGTTTAATGCAGGCTGGATCTCTACTGTCCTTATGTAGTATCCAAGAGAACTGGATGAGAAACCCAATCTCCGCTTTGTCTTGGGGTCCAGGAGATGAGTTGAGATGGTGAGAATCCACATTGAGGTTTGGTCAGTGGATACCGGCGGATGTAAATGTAGGATAAATGTGACCTAAAAGAAAAGGAGGAAAAAAAGACATGAGTAAACCAGTATAAGAACAGACTTATTTATTGGAAACCGGAATTATCGGGTTCACAATAATAAAATGTACAGACAGTTTTCAGTTTCTAAAGGGAAAAAGAACTTGAGTAGCAAACATTTATTGAAGTAACACAGAAATTATTTGCAAAGCTGACTAACTGGGTGATTTCTAACCATCTGGAGATACATGAAGAAACCATTTAATTGGATTATATCAGCATTAGATTGGTTGTCAGCCCAGATGCTGTCTTGATATTAGCATTAAAACTCCATGGAACTTCTCAAAAGTTTAGGGTGCGAAAAGTAATCCATTTATTCAGCAAGAATTAATTAAATTGGAAAAAAGTAACACATTTAATAAACAGAATCTAAAAAATAAACTTTTTTAAGACTGATAATAATAAGAAAGTTTTATTAAGCACTTGATCAGCATATTAAAATGCTTTATTTAAATTTAAATTGATCACAATTGCATCAGAGGAATAAATTACATTTTAATATATTTAATTAGAAAGCAAACATATTATAAAATAACAAAAATAATAATAATTATTGACATTTATATAGCGCGTTTCTGGACACTCAAAGCGCTTTACACATTGTGGGGAATCTCCTCATCCACCTCCAGTGTGCAACATCCACCTGGATGACGTGACGGCAGCCATATTGCGCCAGACCGCACACCACACACCAGCTGATTGGTGGAGAGGAGACAGAAAGATGAAGCCAATGATGGACATGATGGACAGAGGCCAGTGAGCAGATTTGGCCAGGATGCCAAACCCCTACTCTTTTTGAAGGGCATCCTGGGATTTTTTAACAACCACAGATTGTCAAGACCTCGGTTTGACATTTCATCCAATAGATGGCACTCACTGAGCAGTATATAGTCGCCTTCATTATACTGGCGCATTAGGACTCACACAGACCACAGGTTGAGCGCTCCCTACTGGTCTCACTAACACCATTTTTGGCAGCAACCTAGCTTTCCCATGTGGTGTCCCATCCAGATACTGACCAGCCGCAGCCCTGCTTCGCATCAGTGGGAGACCATGTGAGAGTTGCAGAGAGCTAGCTGCCGGCTAGATATGCTCTAGATACGTTTTATATTATTATAGGGGTCTTCACAGTGTTTATGATTAAATAAATTGAGCTTTGTGTGCATAAGCGAAGTCTGTCAAAACATTTAAAAATCATACATATTTTATTATATCTGGTGGAATTTACACCTACCAGAAAAAAAGAAAAGAAAGACAGAAAAAAAACAGTGATGCCCTAGGAATATCACTGTGTAATCCTTTTGTAAACCTCTTCCTTATTCCTCATTTCTCCTCCCATTTCCCTCTCTTTATCTCTCCCACAGTTGGCCCTGCTTTCTAAAAGTGTAGATAAGCACGAGTCTCCCTAGAGGCGCCTAATTTAGCTCTTTCTGCTCGAGTTGTCGGTGCAGGTCTCCAAAAGGGTGTGAAACACAGAGCGATGTGGTCTGTTCAGCTTACCTCAGCACGTCCTGGACAAAACCCAAACACAAAAACACCGCCAAAATCATCCGATTCACTATGACTGTAGGCCTCAATATCACAGTATGCAGTAAATACTGTACTGTCAGAAGTAAATGTCTCAGCCTGCCTGTCAGACATTTCACACTGGATGAAAGATCATCATCTTCAGCTTAACATTACGAAAACGGAAATGCTTGAAGTTTCTGCCAACCCGACTCTACATCATAACTTTTCAATCCAGATGGACGGGGCAACCATTACTGCATCCAAAATGGTGAAAAGCCTTGGAGTAACGATTGATGACCAACTAAACTTCTCTGATCACATTTCTAGAACTGCTCGATCTTGCAGATTCGCACTCTGTAACATCAGAAAGGTCCGACCCTTCCTATCTGTACATGCAGCTCAACTCCTTGTTCAAGCTCTTGTTCTTTCCAGACTGGACTATTGCAACTCTCTACCAAGTGTGCCGCAAGCCTACATTTGAGTGAAGGTTTCGGCCGTTAGATCGCGCCCTGGGGGCTGGCTGCAGTACAAGTCATAAAGCCCGCCTCCTCCGTGTTAATGAAGGAGACTTGAGCCCAAATAAAAAAAAATATTACACTTGCAATAAAATGTCCCGAAAGATAGTTCTGGTCGATTAAGGCACTGGTTATTGTGCTGAAATAGGTGCAGATCTTCATTTTTGTAAACAGTTTGTTTTTAGCAGTAATTTAATGCTGGGCGTGTCATCGTGATTGACAGCTGTGATTGACAGTTTCTCAAAGCGCGGCGTCTGAGCTTCGGCAGGAGACTGAAGTAGACTGAAGTGTTATTATTCGATTTCTGTGTTATTTTACCATGACAAAATGAGTTCAGCAGTAAACTATAGTTTCTGACATACATGATCCTGGTGGAACACTGTTTATTCGCTAAGTTCAGGGCTTTTTTCGGGCTTTATTAGTTTGCTGATACACGCCTAGCCACCCAAATAGCAAAACACAGTTCCGGCTAGATTCTCGCCTGCCGGAGACTTATCTCTTAGAGCTCAGACTGACTAATGTTACCTCTGCTGGACCTACTCCGGATGCCTGGACTCACTGCCCGATTCCAGTCCGAGTCAATCGAGCCAGATGCGGCGGCCGAGCGAGCCGGTGCTGCCGCATGCGAGCCGGAATCAGCCCGCGACGCCGCGAGTAAGTTATGCGCTGCAGCCCGGAGCTGGCGCGATTAAATATATAAAACCCTCATATTTGTTAACGTTATTACATCCATTTGTGTTGATATGACAGCAAACGCATGCTGAGAAGTTCGGGGGGCGTAGTTGATTTTACATAAAGCGTTTGATTGGAAGCTCGACTCTGCTCATTTTCGCGGCTCCTCCTCTGGCTCCATCAGACAATCCTTCTGCGCATGTCTGGCTCCAATTTCAGCAGTCTTTTGCGACAGTTTGTGCCCGTCAAGCAGGCGTTTTGCCCTCAAGGCGTTCAATGGGAAAAAGGGCTGTCGCGTCGTCCATATTTTTTACAGTCATTGCTCTCTACTAGCCGGGCACCCAGTTAACTCTATCAAACCTCTTCAGCTGCTCCAAAACGCAGCAGCACGAGTGGTCTTTAATGAACCTAAAAGAGCACATGTCACTCCGCTGCTCATCCGTTTGCACTGGCTGCCAGTTGCTGCTCGCATCAAATTCAAAGCTCTGATGTTTGCCTACAAAGCAACCTCTGGCTTTGCTCCTTTTTATCTGCTCTCACTTCTGCAGATTTATGTGCCCTCCAGAAACTTGTGTTCTGTGAATGAACGTCGCCTCGTGGTTTCATCCCAAAGAGGGAAGAAATCACTTTCCCGAACTCTCGCATTTAATCTGCCCAGTTGGTGGAATGAACTCTCTAACTGCATCAGAACGGCAGAGTCACTCGCTGTCTTCAAGAAACAACTAAAAACTTAACTATTTAGTCTCCACTACACTTCCTAATCTGCAATTGCCTCTCTGGCTCCACCGCTAACTGTACTCAAAAAAAAAAAATTACTAATGCTTTGCTTCTTACACTTTACACACCTGAAATTTGCCTACAGCACTTATTCATTGTTGCTCTTATAGTTGTGTAAATTGCTTTATTGTCCTTATTTGTAAGTCACTTTGGATAAAAGTGTCAGCTAAATGACTAAATGTAAATGTTACAAAATAAAAACATCTGGGGACAAATTCTGAAAATAAGTTTCAATTGATAGTTTTATGCTTCATAAGTTGTTTGCTTGTGACAGAGTGAAGGCTTTAGGATGAATCACTGTGCAATGGTTTAATATGGATCCAATTACAACAGAGAAATGAAGAGAAACAGAGGCAGATGGAGCAAGAAACAGAAGAGAAAGTGCTGAAGCTCAGGAATGAAAGTGTGATGGAGATCAGACGGCGCGGTGGAAGTTACATAACAACAGCAGAGGAAGATAGAGAGAGAGAAAATGAAGACCATACATCAGATATATGGCATAGGAACACAAGCAAGGCATCAGATCACAAACATCCCACATTAATGAGGTCTAATGTTCACACAGGTGCTGCGATCAAAGAAACAGTTCACCCCCCCCCCAAAAAAAAAAAAAACTGACATTATTAAGTCATCTTCATGTCTTTTCAAATATCAATGGCTGCCTTTCTTCTGTAGGGCACAGATGATTTCTGAACATCCAGGATAAAATTAAAGTCTATGAAAACTGGCGCTGTCAAAACAACAAGACAAAGCAGCATAAAAGTTGCACAAAGGTTGTGTGAATGTAATAAATATATTCCACAGTAGAGTTTTTATCATTAAAAATGTATTTGTTATATTTTATTAAAGGAATAACAGAAACATATACAAAAAAAAGGTGAACATTACATTTTCATCCCTGCCTCCCTTTTCTAATTGCTACATCCTGTAATTCCGAGTCTCAAACATCAAGGCAGATAAAACGAATGTAAAATATGTTAGTTAAACATTTTCAATGAGAACCGAAACATAATTACACGAGGGATGAATATAACAATGGTAGATTTTTATTGTAATATAGATGTCTACTCTTCTGCAAAGAGAAACAGACCGATTTAGACACCCGATTTTGCTCTCCAATGATTGTTCACAAAAAACTATTCACATTAGAGATGCACGATATATCGGCGGCCATATCGAGCATATACGAATGGCACTAGCGAAAGTAATCTAATGGCTCGTTTCCACTGACTGGTACAATACGGTACGGTTCGGGTTGGTACAGGTCACCTTTATCAGGCTTGCGTTTCCACTATAAAGGGTACCCTTTTGGCGGGCGTGGTGTAAGACAGAAAGTGTCAGTCGCACCATTCTCGCTCGAGGAAATGTCGACAGTAAAGCTGCACAGGTGGTTCACATATCATATTAAAAGCACTTCACACAAAACAGATGCTTTACACACATAAATACTTCTATATAAATGTTTATTACTAACTTTACTATAAACAGGAGTTGATAA